CATGGGGGGGGCCCTCTTCCTCAAGGGGCGGGCGGGGCTGGGGCGGGCGGCCACGGCGCAGGGCCGGGAGGTGCCGGGCTCGGTCCCTGCAGCGTGTCCCCGTCCCCGCAGACCGGCGTGCTGACCCCCCTGTCCCAGCAAGTCCTCATCGACTGCTCCTGGGGCTTCGGGAACCAGGCGTGCGATGGGGGCGAGGAGTGGCGTGCCTACGAGTGGATCAAGAAACACGGTGGCATCGCGAGCACTGAGTCTTACGGGCCGTACCTAGGGCAGGTGAGGCCGAAGGCTCCCCTCGCGCTGTGAGTTAGATGAGGTCCCACCACCGCAGTGAGCTCATGACTCTCCTGGTGGCCCCATCAGCGGAGGGGACAGTGCCAGTCCCTCGGCCGAACCTCGGGGCATGCAGAGGGGCTGCAGCAAAGCTGCTGCCACCAAGTTGGTGGTGGATGGAGACTCCTTTCTGGCTTATGGATGCTCCGGCCAAGTCATGTGCCTTTCTCCATCATCCTCAGCTGAGATGGGTTGGATCCCGCTCATGAGCGCCAGGAGCCCTGACCCATCACAGCCTCTTTCCCCCTCCAGAATGGCTACTGCCACTACAACCAGTCGGAGCTGGTAGCCCAGCTGGCCTCCTATGTCGACGTGGAGCCGGGCAATGCCGCGGCCCTCAAGGCTGCACTGGTCAAGCATGGCCCCATCGCCGTCAACATTGATGCTTCGCACAAGTCCTTCGCCTTCTACGCCAACGGCGTCTACGAGGAGCCCCGGTGCGGTGAGCTGAGCTGGTGGCCGGAGAGGCTGCACGAGCAACGGTGGTATGTGGGGAACCCCCACCCTCCTGGACCAGCCAGAGGGTCCATGTCCTGCTCCTTAGGTCTGAGAGAGATGAAAATCCCTGGTGATGTCGCTTCCCAGCCTGTGGGATGCCCTGGGGGGGTCCTTGCTGGGGGTGGCTGCAGGCAGGGACGGCCGTGGGGTGCCCCATCGCTGCATCCACTAACACAGCTGGGAACAGGCTCCAGCCCCAAAGAAGGGGATCGAAACCCCTCCGCTGTCCTGTTTTCCCTTCCTAGGCAACGAGACGGCCCAGCTGGACCACGCGGTGCTGGCTGTGGGCTACGGCGTGCTGCACGGCAAGAGCTACTGGCTCATCAAGAACTCCTGGTCCACGTACTGGGGCAACGACGGCTACATCCTCATGGCCATGAAGGACAACAACTGCGGCGTGGCCACCGCAGCCTCCTTCCCCATCCTGGCCTGAGGGGACGCAGCCCCCTGTGTGTCACATCCCCTTGGCTCCAGCCAGATGGGCTTTCGGCAGAGGGATGCTGGCAGGTGGCTGTGGGGCAGAGGGTGCTCCCAGCCCCCTGGAACAGTATTTTACCATTTTGTCAATAAACACCTGGAGAAGTCTCTTGTGCTGGGACTGTCTTCTGCCAGCCCCTGCCCAGGTGGCAGTCCCTTCCCCTGCTTGCAAGGTAATTTATCGTTAGAGCATCCCATGTCACCAGTGCCCTAAAGCGCCTCTGTGCACCCTGGGGACTATCCTGGGGGTGTACGGGGACGGGTGCCCTCTCTGGCCTCCTCATGCCCCCACTTATTAAAGATGTCTTTAAATGTGGTGCATCTAAAGCAGGGAACCCCCTAAAGGGCTGCCTGGGGCCCTGTTCCAGAGCCTGGAACTGTGCTGCCTCTGTCAGCAGCTGGGTTTATACTAAGGCAGCATCTCCAGCTTTGCACAAGGCACTGACCAGCTTGTGCCTCGGTTCTCCCGGCACCTTGCAGCTCCCGCTCAGGAGAAAGCGCTGTTTCACTGAAAG